GTCGTTCAATACAAGAAGGAATAGATGAAATCCAAACAGAAGAACCAAATTGTGAACGAGCAGCCCTTGCAACCTTGAAATAGAATACTAGGAAGTTGAAAATAATGTTGCAAAAGTGATTTCAATATAAGAAAGTGAATAAAATGTGAATTTCCTACTTTACCCTTAAAATTTTAAATATTTTTAAATTTTTCCGTAAGTTTTAATGGTCAGGGACCAAATGCGCCACTTCGCTAATAACTGAGGGACTAAAAATAGATACGGTCATAACTCAGAGACTGAGTCGTCACTACCATTATAACTCAGGGACCAAACTCTCAATAATAATAATAATAATAATAATAATAATAATAATAATAATAATAATAATTATTATTATTATTATTATTATTATTATTATTATTATTATTATTATTATTTTTAAATAAAAATAATTTAATAAAAGAAATAATTTTTTTTTTTAAAAAAGTAAAACATATGGTTCGGCTCCCCTCAGTTTTGCCACTTTTCACATCGGTGGGAAAAGTGGCATGGGAGCCTTGAGAAGGCTCCAATTGAAAAAATTAAACTTGCTCATCCGTTGATTGACAAGCAGTGAGCCAGCGAAACTGGCTCTTCTTATTCAAGGAATCGAAATGGCTCTACAGTAATTTTTTTTTTTTTAAATATAGAGGTGTTTTAGGGAAATCATTTTAAAAAACGCTAAGTGAAAATATTGTAAATTGGAATGTTTGTATTTTCAGTAGTTTGGAACAAATTGTTATTTCAAACTGTTGAATAACCAAACACTTTCTTTAGGATTTTGATCTTTGGGTTACATCATATTTACCAATCGTCCAATATTTGTGGGTTACATCATAATTAAAATTTTTAAATTTGTACTACATCTAAATTTCTTAAATTAGGAATTCCTTTATCCATAATAATTTATTCAAAAATAATGGTTGAACTAAATGAACACTGAGCAAAACACCGAAAGGACTGGTACCGTTGATTCATTCATTGATCTTGTATATATGTGCATTCATTAAATATATTAGAACCCTTTGCAACAAAAATACTTGGTTATTATTTAAAAGTTTTTTAGTAACAATTATAATGAATCTCCTATATTACATTGTATTCATATACTATGAATTACATATTTAAATAAATAAATTCGACATTAAATTACTTATGTATGAACTTTTCATATATAATCTTGCATTGATATACTTTCAAATATTTATTTAATTATAAACATTGGACATTAACTCGATCATTCGCGCAATGAGCGTGTAAAACTAGTATACTATATTTAAAAACAAAATCTTCCATTTTAACTTCCCGCTCAAAACACTCCTATACTATTAAGGTTTGTGCAATATTGTAAAATATAGTAGTACAATTCCTATTCGTACTACAATTGTACATTAAAATATGGTAATATAATTCCTAATACAATATATTCTTTCCTATTCGTAATACAATTCTAGATTAAAATTACTAATCCTAATAATGCAATAGCTAGATATACTTCCTTGCAACGTTATCTATCTATACTACTAATAAAAACATAATTCTACTTTTACAACTTCCCATCCAAACACTTAATAATAATACTAAGGAATAGTGGAAAAGACTTGGTAAAAAGAAAATACTCTCTTGCCCGTAATACAATTCTACTTATTATTTTACAAAATCTTCACATAATAATATTGATTGAAATTACGATATAAATACTTTTCTAATCATAATATAATTGTACATGAACATGCATCCTTATTTCTTCAAATTACAATATTGAAATTGCAATAATTTAGAAAACAGTTATAGTATAAATACTTTCCTATCGGTAATACAATTTTATTTATTATTTTACACAGAATCTCCAAATAATAATATTGATTTAATCACACTATAAATATTTTCCAAACCTCAATACAATTGTACATGAAACATGCATCAATATTTCTGCAAATAATAATATTGAAATTGCAATAATTTAGATTAAAATTACAGTGTAAATATTTTCTTATCCGTAATACAATTCTAGCTACTTATTATTTTACAGAATCTCCAAATAATAATATTGATTGAAATTACACTATAAATACTTTCCTAATCTTAATACAATTGTACATAAACATGCATCCTTATTTCTACAAATAATATTAAAATTTCACTATAAATACTCTCTTAATCGTGAACAATTTTTCCATCGATTATTTTTGTTCTTCTGTGGTATTTTGTTATTTCTCATTAAAGTGAATTCCATTTTTGGTCCTACTGTTATAGGGGCATTTCCAATTTTAGTCCACCTTAATTTTTTTTGCCACTTTATAACCACTATTATTGAATGTGTTCCACTTTTAGTCCCACCGTTGGTATTTCCATCAAAAGGCCATGTAATTTAGGAGTATTTTGACCTTTCTTCTCATCCAAAATTATGTTTGACTAAAGAAATGAGAACATTAAACCTAAAACCTAAGAAATCTCGCCGGTCCATGTTGGAACGAACGAAATGATGTAGCTTTGGCTTCCCATTCTCGTTGTTCGAAGAGCCATATTCGAATATCGGAGGAGGAGGACGAAGCGCCTGGATTAAAAGAGAAGAGACAAACATAAAAAGACCAAAATACCCTTGGATTATACGGCCTCTTGATGAAAATATTAACGGTGGACTAAAAGTGGAACACATTCAATAACAGTGGTTGTAAAGTGGCAAAAAAAATTAAGGTGGACTAAAATTGGAAACACCCCTATAACAGTAGGACCAAAAATGGAATTCACTCTTCTCATTATTGTTGACTAATGGAGTCTGTTTTCGTCTCTGCCCCCGACCTATCCCCCAAGACGATCGAGAAAAAGCTCTATAAGGGTACGTTTGATGCGTTGTTATTTGTCTAGGGAATATCAACGCTCTACAAGACAATGTTGAACAAGTTAGTTCTCATTAAACATGTTTCTTCAATTCCTCTTGCAATAATATTTTTTTTCCACATTGCTTTTCTTAATAGTTAGTTTCGTCTAGGACATAGCACCACTGTAAGCTACATCTTCTTCAAGTCCAGAAGTCATTTTGGTTGATGAAAGCACTCCCAGCAGCCGTCTTTAAAGAGACTAAACGTGGAATGTTCATCATCTTCAAAGGGTTTGAAGAATCCTAAGATCGAACCCAATACATGAGAACCTTGACCGGTTGGTTTTTGATTGACGACAAACAATGTATATTTGTGTTCCGGATAATTAAATTTCATATTTTCGCACCATTAGACTGTGATTTTGTTTTTCTTTGTTTAAGTTAACTAAATGCTTAACAGATGGTTTATTCTGTTATGCTTTAAATTGTTTTAAGTTTTGGCATTGTCGTTAGCTTAATTATATATGCTAACAAACAGTTTATTTTGTCACTCTTCTTGATTTTTTCTACCTATTTCTGTGTTATAAATCTGCAGGTTAAGTGACAATATTGTTGGCAAGACAGAAAAACATTGCACATACATGTCCAATAAAGCAATATAGATGCAAAAACTTCAATATTCATACATAAAATTAAATATTTAATATAAATAAATGAATATATAAATATAAGCAAACTAACAAACCCTTCAATTTTAAAAGTACAATACATATACTTTCTTATCCGTAATACAATTCTACTTATTATTTTACAAAATCTCCAAATAATAATATTGATTGAAATTAAACTATAAATACTTTCCTAACCTTAATACATTTGTACATGAAACATGCATCCTTATTTCTGCAAATAATAATATTAAAATTGCAATACATATATTTTTCTATCTATAATTCAATTCTACTTATTATTTTACAAAATCTCCAAATACTTCGTAATAATATTGATTGAAATTACACTATATAAATACTTTCCTAACCTTAATACAATTATACATGAAACATACATCCTTATTTCTGCAAATAATAATATTGAAATTGCAGTAAATATACTTTACTATCTGTAATACAATTCTACCTATTATTTTACAGAATTTTCAAATACTAATATTGATTGAAATTAAACTATAAATACTTTTCTAACCTTATGAGATAGTTTTCCGTTTCAATTTATTGGGTTATTTGAATACTCACTTTGTCAACAAATCTCCCAAGTAGTTAATATGATTGACTTCAAATTAATTTTTTTAATTATTTTTTTAATATTAGTATAATTACAATTACAATTAATTCATTCGGATATGGAGGATGAGGAAAAAAGTAAAGGCGATATGGTGAAAAGAAATATACTTAGTCATAAAAGTATAACTGCACATATATTAGTATAATTGCCTAATAATTATATTATGATAATTAAACTAAACATGGGTCGTTGAATTTATTTTTATAATAATTATAATTAAATTATTTTATTATTTTTCTCATATTTATTTTAGTAATAAAATAATTACATAAATCATATTACATATCGATTTTAAAAGATAATTGCAAACAAATGAATCATATATTATTCAATTAATTGAGTGATACTTTTGAACTAATCTTATAATCAAATAAATGTATACTTTCAAATATTATAATTGTTTATAATTTCATCTTTAATTTTATTATCTAAATATATAATAAAAAATTTTACCATTACATGTACAGGTAATTGGGCAATTATTTTCTCGAATTCAAGCAAGGATAACATCATAAATCATAATCGATCCAATTCATTTCATCAATTACACTTTATAATATTCGTTTTTATAATTTATATAATTGTATATCGATCCAAATATTCTTAAAATATTATAACAAATTCATTCCGTGCAACGCACGGGTGAAAATGCTAGTAATGTGGAATAAAGTGAATTTAAATTTTGTGTTTGGTTTGCAGGAATAGAATTATTGAGAATTTCAATTTTAATATTTGGTATACATGAAAATTGAAAGGAATAAGTAATATATTGTAAAAAGTTGTTGTTGTTGTTGTTGTCGTTGTCGTTATTGTTGTTGTTGTTGTTGTTGTTGTTGTTGTCAGGAGGGATCGAGTCCTAATACATAGAGTGATCCTGATCATAAGCTAATCTAGCTAGTGAATACGCATGTAAATTATGCGTTCTAGTAATAAAACTGGGCGAACAATAATCAAAACTACTGATAGCTGCCTTACATTGATCTACCACGATTCCAACGTAAGATAAATTCGGCGTAGATACTGAGCAAACAACATTCTTCAATACAAGACAATCCGTCAGAACATCCACCTCAACCTCGTTTCGGTTTTTAAGCCACGACAATACTTCTTTGCACGCCAACGCCTCCGCCATGAGAGGCGAAAAACACCCTGGGAGCTTCCCGTTGGCCGCAACTTTGAACATGCCATCGTGATCGATCAAAACAGCGACGTACGTTGCCTGGCCGGATGCCGGATCGTACCCGGCGTCGAAGTGGCATTTCAGCCGACCGGCCGCAACCGGCACCGCGGCAGTGGGCGCTGCCCGAGTTGCATGAGTGTGGACTGCTGTGTAGGCTGCCTCCGCCGAGACTGCTCGATTCGAGACCACTACCGGCCTCCTCAATGCCCCCTCCCACATGGCTTCGTTTCTTGCCACCCACAAGTAGTAGAGGAGTGCTACGAGACGGCGGACCTGATCGCCTGTGAGCATATCCATAGCAGCCATAAGCCAAGATTCAAAAGAATGAGTAAAAATATTCATAATGGGCAGCCCCGAAACATTCCACACAGCTTTAGAATAATCACATAATACTAATGAATGCATAACATTCTCGTGTGGGAGGCCACACATTGTGCATGTTGGGTCCACATCAACTCTCTTTATAATCAAATTGGTTGTGGTAGGGAGTATATCACACACAACTCTCCAAAAAAAAGTTTTCCACTTGGGTGGGACTCTCATTTTCCATAATTCTACCCATTTATCAAATTCCCCAGTAGTATGTTTGAAATTTCCCCATTAGGCGTCTATAGGCATCCTTAACAGTGTATAGGCCCTTTGGGTCATTGAGCCAATACCATGTATCCTCATAATATGGACAGATTGGTATCTTTAGAATACGATCCACATCTCCCGGCTCAAACAGATCAGTCAAAATATGAGGATCTCACGTTTTTGTCTGCTGGTCCTCTAGCCCTGCAACTACTGCATCCCATAAAGCATCAGGCATTATTGTTTGAACAAGCGGACTAGGATTATCCTGCAACCACGGGTGTCCCCAGATAAAATTAGTCTCACCATTCCCAATTCTTCTTCGGACTCCAGCACAAACTAGATCATGGGCAGCATAATACTCCGCCAGCAGAAACTGGGATTATGTCCTATCGTTGCATCAACAAAGGAGGTTTTAGGGTAATACCGTGCTTTATATACCCTTGCTGCGAGGGATCCTGGATCAGTAAGAAAACGCCACGCCTGTTTTCCCAGCATTGCAAGATTGAATGCCCGTAGATCCTTAAAACCCAAACCACCAAACTTTTTAGGGACACATAACTTGTCCCATGCCTTCCAATGAATTCCTCTGTCTGGGCCTTTCCCCCACCAATACCTGTTCATTGTTCTCTGTATAGATAAACAGACTGATTCGGGAGAAAAAAACACTCATTGAAAAAGTTGGCATAGATTGGGCCACACTTTTCAAGAGCACTTCTTTACCAGCCTGTGATAGCAGTTTCTTATTCCACGAAGTCACCCTCTGTCTGATTTTGTCCTCCACATATGAGAAAACAGCCCTTTTATTCCTCCATATAAAAGAAGGTAGCCCCAGATATTTCTCAAAATTCCGCGCCTGTTCCACGCCCAAACACGCCGCCACCTCCTCCCTCATACCCTCCCCAGTATTTCTACTAAAACAAATATTTGATTTATGATAGTTCACCAATTGACTAGACAACTCCTCGTATCTTGCTAGACATTGTTTCACCACACTTGCCTCATGAATATTTGCTTTAAAGAACAGCAAACTATCATCCGCAAAGAACAGATGTGAGATAGGAGGTGCCCCCTAGCCTCAAATACTACTTATCTACCGTATTCTTGAACATGACATTTTGTAATTAATTTTCATGCAATCGATATGGGAAGTTAGACATCAATTTTAGGTTTAAAAAAGAAAAAAAAAAGAAAGGGATAATTTAGTCTCAAAATTATATATTTTTTTCTTATATTTTTTCCCTAAAAACCAAGAAATTGAAATACGAAGAGGGGGGCAAATTTTACTATGGACCATGGTCCATGTAGTAATGTGGTTCATAAAGTAAATATCATTCTAATTACACTTTAGTTTTATTTGACAATATTGCTCTGTTTTTCAGTTTCATTTTTCATACTCACTAGTTTCATTATAGCAATACTAAAGTATCATTTTAATTCTACTACAGTTTTATTTGACAATATGCATTATTGTATGAGCTCTATTTTGTAGTTTCATTTTTCACACACACTAGTTTAATTATAATAATGCTAAAGTATTATTTTAATTACACTTCACGTTCATTTGACAATATATGTTATTGTATGGTTCCAGATTTTAGTTTCATTTTCCACACTCACTAGTTTCATTTTAACAATATTAAAGTATTATTTTAATTATATTGCAGTTTCATTTGATAATATAGTTGTTGAATGCGCTATGTTTTTTAGTTTCATTTTTCACACACACCAGTTCCATTTTAGTAGCACTAAAGTATCATTTTAAATCTACTACAGTTTCATTTAACAATCATGGTCCACATAGCACTACGGACACTACTGAAAATTACGGAATTTCTGACCATCTGAAAGTGATCTTAAATCAAGTCGAAAGCCTTGTTCCGACCACTTTTGATATCCGGAAAAATCTTTGTTGCTATTTCCGATCACTTTTTGCTTTCGACTTGATTTAAGATTACTTTTAGGTGGTCGAAAATTCTATAATTTCTAGTAGTGGGACCATGGTCCACTGTATAACAATTGTCAGAAGGGAACATGGGATTCTAATTCTATGAAAATGATATATCTACTAAGTTCCCTTCTGTGTAAAATATTTCTATATGTCAATTGTGGTGAAATTTAACATCGATTATACTTATGTTAAAAGAAAAAAAAAAAAAAAGTCTCACCTCCTAAAATTGTTTTGTGCATACCTAGCTAACGTTGGTGCGAGAAGATGGTGTGTACAACAAGGTATAAATAGGGAAAAGCTAGCAACACCTCTACACCTATTTTACAGTAGATAAAATATAACCATATAGACTTAATCAAACAGACTAAATATGTGAACCACATTAATGCTTAATAAAATAATGAGAACTTTGAAATTGAGATTCATCCTTAATTTTTAATCAACACATACTAAGCTACAAATATTTCATTTCATTTTAGTTTATTAATATGCAGACTAAATTGACTTTGTTTTAGGTCCCATCAGAATCGTGTTGCAATAAAAAGGTGTGGACATCGTAATTTCAATTAAAATAAAATGGAAAAGTTTATTATAATTCAATTATGTAGCTCAACTTGTATATATATAGTAATCTAATCAAGTTGCACACACTAATGACAAGTCCAACTTTACGAGCTTTTCTAATCGCATATTATATGACATGTGATTATACTCATATATTTAATCTAATTTATTCTGCGAAGATCTGCTCGGTATTGTGATTTAGTTAATAATCTACTCTCTCTCTCTCTCTCTCTCTCTCTCTCTCTCTCTATATATATATATATATATATATATATATATATATATATATATATATATAATTAAGTTCTGGTGCGGTTGGCAGTCCCAAGTGTGATTGTGCGGTTAAATTTGAGCCATTAATCTTGCTTAAATAAACGTCTAAGATTACTAAAATTTAAAAAAACAAAAAAACACAGTGGCAATTTGGTAATTTTTACATCTAGGTAAATTTAAGGTGCTTGGATTTGGGCTTAATGTGCGTGAGTTTTGTGTTTAATGCGTGTGTGGTTTGTGCTTAAGGTGTGTGTGGTTTGTGTTTAAGGCGCGTGGAGTTTGTGCTTAAGATGCGTGGGTTGTGTGCTTAACGTGAGTAGTTGTTAAAACTTAAGGTGCATGAGGTTTGTGCTAAAGGTGCGTGGGGTTTGTGCTTAAGGTGCGTGGGGTTTGTGCTTAATGTGAGCAGTTGTGTGAAACTTATAGTGTGTGAGTTTTGTGCTTAAGGTGTGTAAGTTTTGTGCTTAATGTGCATGAGTTTTGCGCTTAAGGTGCGTGATTCATATGCTTAAGGCGCGTCAGTGTTATAAACTAAGATACGCAAAGTTAATATTAATGTGTGCTATTTTAATGCTTAAGGTGCGTCCAACCGCACAATTGCACGGGAAGTCATTCCCGCACCTGAACCTTCTATATATATATATATATATATATATATATATATATATATATATATATATATATATATATATATATATATATATATATAATCGCACTCAGGTGCGAATGCTTCGTCCCGACACGAAATAGGAATGGATTCTGTCCGTCCACGTGTCCAGATCTAATGGATAAAAAACACTGATTTTTTTAAAAAAGCGCGGTGGCATTTTCATAAATAATTGAACATCGAAGTGCAAGTAAAAATTTACACTGAGCATCAATACTAAGTGCACCTATAGTTATAAGTAGTTGCACCTATAGTTCTAAGTAGTTGCACACATAGTTATAAGTAGTTGCAACTAGGTGCATGAATGTTTGCGGGTGGTTTCAGGGGTATTACTACCCGCTGAACTCAGATCAATGAATGTTAACAAGGCAAAATTACATGTACTTAGTGAAAGTAGGTGCACCTATAGTTATAAGTAGGTGCATCTATAGTTATAAGTAGTTGCACCTATAGTTATAAGTAGTTGCATCTATAGTTATAAGCACACCCAAGTGCATGAATGTTTGCGGGAAGCGAATGCTAACAAGGCAAAATTATATGCACTTATAGGTGAAAGTAGGTGCACTTGTAAGTGATTTTACTTTCACTTCAATGTTCAAATATTTATGAAAATGCCACCGCGTTTTTTTAAGCTATTAGATCTGGACACGTGTCGCGCGCTGATTCGTTCGCATATTCCTTCCTGGGCACTTATTCGCACCTGAGTGCATCCCTATATATATATATATATATATATATATATATATATATATATATATATATATATATATATAGGACCGTGTTCAGGTGCGAATAGCTTGCCCAGGAGAGAACTCAGAATGCATGACATATGTCCACATGTCCAGATCTAACAGATGAAAAACACTGATTTTTTTTTAAAAAAATGCAGTCGCATTTTCGTAAATATATGAACATTGCAGTGCAAATAAAATGTATTACAAGTGCAGGTAGCAGTTTCATATAATGCACCTAAGTGCAAGTAAAATGTATTACAAGTGCAAGTAAAATGTATTACAAGTGCAAGTAAAATTTACACTGAGCATCAATACTAAGTGCATCTAACATTATAACTAGTTACACCTAACGTTATAATTAGTTGCACCTAACGTTATAATGTTAACAAGGTAAATTACTTGCACTTGTAAGTGAAAATAGGTGTACTTGTAAGTGATTTTACTTGCACTTTTTACTTGCAAAAAATGCACTAACTACTTGCACTTATAACACATTCACTTGCAACAAAGTTCAAGTTATTTACGAAAATGTCACCGCATCGTT